AATATATAAAATAAAAATATATATGTATACAGAGTATCTCATCAAGTAGATTATCTCTGGGGGGAGATGAACAGGTAGAGCGCATTAATTAAATAGAAAAATTCTCTACCGTTCTGTATTTGCAATAATTAATAAGATAGATAATTAATAAACGCGTGGACTGTCCTTTCGCACGGATGCACGCTTATTCGCAGATCTTTATTAATTATTACAATATCAGCGCTACGCAGAAGCGACGCATATATATAAATATTATTGTATTATACCTAAAGCACACTTCCAAATATCTTGCCACATTCCTAGCAACAGTGAACGCGTACAAAACTCTCTCTCTCTCTCTCTCTCTCTCTCTCTCTCTCTCTCTCTCTCTCTTTGTCTCTACCCCCTTTTATTTCAATGTTATTCCATTATAGTAATATACATAATTTTTACAACAGAGTTCACCCTAAGAAATATAGCATTTTGCCAAGCACGGCAAAATTTGTATCTCTTGTGCAGATATCATCGAATTGTGCGTCGGGTTATCATCCACTCTCGCGATGTCCTTTTCGTCGAAAATTCTTTGCTTCCAGGCGTTTCTTTTCGATATTCTCTCGCTAGTCGATTCGCCATGCTCTCTTACGTAACGCTCGTCCTTTCCAGTTGCCGTGCTCTCTCTCTCTCTCTCTCTCTCTTTTTCTCTCTCTTCATATCTGCCCCCCCCCTCTTTCTCTTTCTCTGTTTGTCCGTGTCTCTCTGTCTTTCTATCTCTTTGCGGACATCGAGGAATAGTCGTTTCACCATTTCTGCAACTTCGACTCTGCCCGCCCGAGGATTTTCAATATCCTCGCAATACGTGGCTCTCTTTGAAATTCAGATATTGCGAGCAAAGAGCCCTTTCGGCGGTAGCTGTACCTCAAATTTGCACAGGGTAGTCCAAGCCTGCGAGCAGTCGACGAAATCATTGCGTCCCGCGATATCCTCGCAACACAGCACTGTCCATTCATGTGTACAAGCATGACCAACGTACTTTGTACCCACGGGAAAGATTCTATTTAATCATGTGAGCTTTAATGAGATCAGCTTTGCGAATTAATTTTAATAAGTTCGGCGAATTTGATTTTCGACGATTCAGATGATGTAAGAATTAAAAAAGAAAGCCTCAAATTTGGCGAGAATTTCTTTTTAATGATTTACATTACATCAAATCATTATTCATATACTGGCAAAAATGTTCTAATTCATAAATCAACAGAAACATTTGATCCTAAAAAGGAAATTTTACAAGAATGGCATTTTGATAAGATCGAGCAAACTTTTTGATTTTAAAATTAAAAATTCTGTTTATCTTCTCCATTAAATACTATTCTTTAGGCCTTTTTGTTGATTTAATCGAAACAAGAAATATCTAAGCACTAATTTGTTTTGACCGAATATTCGTATTTAATTAGATTTATTCTTATCAATCTAAACTCATATCATACTGTTAAGCAAAACATTTGTTTCAATGCAGTGAATTTTGTACTCTCTTCGTTCTCTGCATGAAATGCAACGATAGCAACGTCGAATTCATATATATATATTTTTATAATTTTTAGAGTATATAAAAATACAAAATTTAAATAAAACAGGAATCGATCCTATAGTATTTTTCAAATATACAAGCGATAAGTTCGTAATAGAAACTGTGAACTTTCCCGAGCTATTTACTCGCGAGACTTTAGTACTAAGCTAACAGTGAGAGAACTAAAGCATGATGCGCGTGCATTTCATATTTAATAAATGCGTTTCATGCAAGATGCAACTTTCTGGAAAATGCTGAAGAATACATTCTCGATATAATTAAGGAAATGCCAAAATTTGCGCCCTTATCATTAATGTACAATTTTTTACTTTACATTGCATAAGAAATTTGAATCATTTTTGACAAAGTACATAAATAAGTGATTAATAAATGATATATATAGCAGCATAATTGACTACATTTGCATAGTTGAAGCAATTATGTATATAAGTATATAGTTGTCACAAAAAAATGGCTAAATTATAGCCATTAAATTACAGTAATTGCAATAAATTTTTTCTCTCGGTGTAATTATTTCGATGATCCAACAAAATTAGTTTCACACACACACACACACACACACACACACACACACACACACAGAGAGAGAGAGAGAGATCTGTATCTAATTCAATTTTTAGCTCCAACAAAATCGTTCTTTCAGTGTAGAATTCTAAAACCTCACGAACGGGATTTCCCCCGGTTTCGTTCTAAGGAAGACCGAAGTCCGATACTAATTTCTCGAGTATTTCTCGCATCAACGCCGAGCTACGGCTGACGAGGGTCATCGTCGAAGACCGTTCCTCGAACACGATCAATACCTGATACATCGCCGGCGTGGCAAAAAGGCGTGGAGGACACGAGGTACTTCCCGAGAATGAAATCCCGTCATCGACAACGCGCGACGTCTGCAACGGCGGATCGACAGTAATTGGCGGCTGTCGGAGTATGCCGTCGGTTGCGAACTTTGAACTTTCGAAAAATAGTTGCGCGACAATCGATAGCACAACAAGAGGCAGGACACCTGGACGGGACGCGACGAATGGGATTCGATGCGTTTAATCGCGACATTTCGCGGCATCGACCACGACGGATCTATCATCGCGTCGAGAGGACGTCGCGGGCGCTCACGAGGGAGACAGACACTGACAAATTCGACGACGAGAACGACGACAGAAGGGACGAAGGGGGAGGGGGAGGGAGGGTGAAACCAGGTGATGCCGTGGGTGGTGCTCGCGTGTTTCGCGAAAAAGAAAAGCACGGAAGTTCAGCGCGAGTCTCTCGGCGTAACAGGTGGTTAAACAGGGCTGTAAAGCAGCTTGCAAGCGGCGCGATAGGGGTGGGAAAGGGGGGAGAGGGAGAGAGAGAGAGAGAGAGAGTTGCATCGGGGAGGATGTCGAGGGAAGGGTTAAAAAGGTCGGACTTCGCGCGAGGTGCAGCCGAGAGATCGTGGCACCTCCGCCACCCCTTTTCCTTACGCTCGCGCAACACGAATTACGAATTAATTGTCCGGATTATATTTCGCGCGTCGTTCCCGAAACTTTTTGTACGCCCTCCGCGAGAAATCGGACGAAATCGTGTCTCGCGGCTGGAGAAAGAAAAAATACGATCGGCATACGTTATCAGCGAATCGAAATTTATTACGATAGAAGATATTTAGGGGATTATCGCGGGCACCGAAATTATATATCACCGTAGTTAAATTTAATTAGAGTCGGAACGGGCTGCGCAAAATTCACGTTTTTAGAGAATTACCGCTTGAATCAGCATAATAATAACGATGGCAAAAACCATTCCGAGCGATTAGGTATCGCAATCATTATCGCACTGGAAAAAGTCTGGCAGCAATAATCAATTAAGCCTAGATGATAATATTACTAATAACATTTTTTATTGGCAGAACTAGTGCGCTCTCAGTGCAATA